CACTTAGAAAACATTTTCAAAAAACAGAGTTCCCGCTCGAGCGTCACTTACCCCGCTCGAGCGGACATGCAAACAAAAGTCTCCGCTCGAGCGTAAGTTTTCCCGCTCAAGCAGACTGCAAAAGTACTGGATGTGTGAAAATCACGCTCGATTGGGCGCTCGATACCCGCTCGAGCATGTAACACAAGTCCTCGCTTGAGCGTCCAATACCCCGCTCGAACGAACTGTAAAACAGTGCAAAGTGCTGGAAGCACGATTTTCCCGCTCGAGCGCCAATAATCCCGCTCGAGCGTAAGTCCAAATTCTGAAAATTCCAGATTCGAACCTCAAGCTCAAAAACAAGTTTTAATGTACTAAATTCGATCCTTTTGGGTTAATTTTCTGGAAAACACTTCAAAACTCATAATATAACATGTTTCAAAGGTCAATTTGAGAAATCAAAGTCCAAAGGTAGTTCAATTAAATCCAATTTCAAACCAAACTTTCAAGAACATGATAAACATGTACATGCATGAATTTAAACACTTCAAAGCTTCAAATGCTAGCTTAACTGAGCCAATTCTTTTCAAAACAAGATAAATTCATGGTCCTTAGCAAAAATATGAACATGCATGTGACAATTTTCCATGAAGACAACTTTAAGCTCATCAATATAGGCATGCATGCATGAAATGAGCTTCAATTCAACATATAGAATCAATTCTAGACTTTAACTCACTAAATTTCCTTGATTCATGAGATACAACTTAAATACATAAACCAAGGGATAGAATCTCTACCATAGGCTTCCAATCACAAGTCTAGAGGCTCAATTTTGGCAAATTTTCTAACAATTCTTCCAATTTCCAAGCAATCAACAAGTTGAACTCAACTCTCTCTCTCTCACTCTCTCTCTCTTGGACGGCTAGGAGCTCAAGAAGAATGAACAAGATGATGCACAAGATGGAATAAAACAAGCCTCAAAATGTTTGGTGTAGTGGCCCACTAATAGGGCAAAATTGTAAATAATTCAACTTGTGGGATTTAGCTTATTTTAATCTAATTTTAATCATACCAAATCACATTTCAGATAAATACACCATAAAATCACATAAATTATGATTAACACATATCACTAACCAATTTCAGATTCGGCCGCCGATAAGGCCTTCAATTTGCAGTTTAAAGCATAAACATGAACAGATAACTTAACAGTCAAAAGATAGATATGCATTCAAACTAGCACAATCAATCAATCAGTTTAGTGATTTCAGTTAATTCAGTCAATTATCATAATTAGTCTCAGTTTAACAGTGATCAGTGGTTTATCAGTAAACAGTGGTGAGGGTTGTCACACCGACCCACAACCGCGCTCGGTACAGCCGGACGGACGGCGGCAGCGGCGCGTATGTGGTGGTTTGGGCTAAGGTTCACTTTATCCATAACTCCTTCCTTCTACAAACTTGGGGTGCCCCTTGGGGCCCAACCCGAGTGTTGTAGTCTAGAGCTTATATACACAAAAAAGCTCTCCTAAAGTTTCAATGTGAGACAACCCATTTTAAGGAAACCCACATTTAAATCTTTAAATGTTCATTCCACAAACCTGAAAACGACGTCAAGTTCTCATTCACTCATAAATGGTTTTGACGAACTGTCTTCACCGTGTGACTTGCCACGCGGCAAGGAACACGTCACCTTTTCGGACCCACCCCAAAAGACGTTTGGGCCCACTCCATTTTGGGCTCAAAGTTGGCCCAAAATAAGCCTTATAAAACACCATTTTTCCAACACGCACTCATCTCTTCTCTTCTCTTCTATGTTGTTGTATCAAAGGTGTTCATGTTGTTGTTGTATCCATCACCATTTCGTTCTCCATCTCTCTGCAAAACTTTTCACTCACTTCCATTTTCTAATTTGGTAGTCGTCTTCAAACTCGCCAGAGATAAGTTTTGCGGCTTCGATTAGCAAATCCAGATTTCCCTTGATCACTATTCATCTCCAAGCACATAAATTGTTCTTTCCCCAGCAATTTCAAGTTCTTCCTCATTTTCAATTTGAACAGCAATTTGTTCCAAACAGTTTTGCATTTTCTTAATTTTGGTCTGGAAACCTGTTTTCATAATTTTTTATTTTTTTTAAAACCCACATTTTATTTCTAAATATGCTTTTAGGGTTTTTGTAAAACAAGGTCATCTTTCTTCTATTTCAAGGTAATTATGTGCAATATATATATATATATATAGAGAGAGAGAGAGAGATCTAAGCGAGGAGGTGGTATGGTATTTGTTTATTAATTGATTTAAATTGCGATCTCCATCAAGTGTTTGTCTTTAAGTTTAAGTTTGCAATCCCAAGTGTTTCAGAAAATACTTGGAACATAGTCTCTTTTTTTTTTAATTATCAAGAAGTCCATTTTTTATTTTTTTATATTTTAAAACCTAAAGTCTTTCATTTCACATGTTTCTGATATACTAATATACATATTTTCCTTTCTATTCTACCCCTCTTTGAACAATAATTAATTGTTTGATTGGTGAAGAGTAGTGTGTATGTAGTAGGAAGCAAATAGATAGCTTCATATCCTACACCAATCACTTCATGAGATGATGATGTTGTTCATATAAAATAATTTGATTTTTTTTAATTAGAAATTTCATCTATACTAACTACCAATCTGGCTTGCCCCATATAAAAATTAGTAGTAAAATAAAATAGAAGTTTCATTTTGTTTTTTTTATTTGGAAACTTATTTTTACTTCTCGACAACAGGCCTTAAAATATCACATGGATCCAAAGAAAACTATTCTACCCAACCACTGGTCATTATATGAAGATGAAACCGTAAAACTGAAATTCATATACTATATGCTAATAAAGCCAAATTAATTGTTGATGTTGTTATTTTATTATAATCCTATAAATAATTATCCACTCTTCGTTTTTTTTCTTAGGATGGGAAGGAGTAAAAATGACTCTATTAAGAGGTTTTATATTAAAACATTCTAATCCATATCCAAAAATAAAACTGCATGCATACAAAAATATTTTAATTCATGTATGTGTTTATACGGAATTTGTATTTGTTCAATTCATTTTTTAATGGGTTTGATTTTTTTATATTAAATAAATCTTTGGGCTTATTTGATTATTTGATTAAAAAAAGTTCAATTCATGGTAGATGTCCACTTGTGAACTTTCACCAATTGGTCGGCCACCTAGTCATCCACCCGGTCGAGCACCTAGTTGACTGCGCAAGTTCTTTTATTGCTTTTTTATGGTAGATATTGAACATTTTATCCCAAAAAATTAACAATAATCAAAGGGTATCAAATTAGAAGATCTGGTGTGTTATGTGTAATGTTAAATGTGTTTCGGCATCTATAGGTGGCTGGAAAGATAATTTCCTTTATGTGTCCGCAGCGTAGTGGGACTTGTAAGGCCTTTAGTTAATTAGGTTGCTTGTTTGATTATGTTCTTCTGCCCTTTCTCCGTAGATTTTAAACCTGTTAAGCCATACTGCTCTGTAAAAAACTAGGAAGGAAGTATTTTTGGTCAGATGCATTTTGTTGGATTTTTAGTTTAACCATTGTTTTTTATTTTTTCTTCTTTTTCTTATTTCTTTCTTTCTTTCTGTAGACTAATAAGCTGTGTATTTCTTTTTCTTCGTCTACTACGGCTTGTTAGAAAGATATATATTTGCCAAATCTATCGTAGCACAGTGGTAAAAATGTTGGCATGTGAACTTGAAAAGAGGGACGTTGTTATGAGTTCAAATCTTGTTGTGGTAAAAACAAAAAGGTAAAGGAAAAAAAGATCTTCTTATTAGTTGTGTATATTGAAAAAAGAGTAAAATATTATCCCTACTTTTATCAAATAAAAAAATAATAATAATAATTTTTTATTCATTAAAATAAATATGAAACAAATAAATTTTCAACTTTATTAAATGAAAAAAAAAATTCATTAACTAAAAAGAAAAATTATTTTAATAAAAAATAATTTTTTTTTTTGGCAACGGCATCCTCCGTTGCCAAAAAAAAAATCATTTTATTATTTAAATTTTCATTTGTAATGAAAATAAAAAAAAAATCATTTGTAATCCCCCTTTCCATTCCCGCTCGGGTCTCCCCCCATCCCAAACTCAAAATCCCCAATCTCTTGAACCCAAAATCCCCAATCTCAAAATCCCTAATCTCTTCTTACGTCTCTCTCTCTCTCTCTCTCTCTCTCTCTCTCTCTCTCCTTCTCAATTTGTTTCAGATGCTGATTAGGATGATCCACGATCGAGGAGGAAGAGGAAGAGCAGGAGTTCTAGGCGTAGAAGTAGGAAATCGGAATCAAATATCAACATACATACATACAGACTTGTTTGAATCGTCAATCAAATATCAACCAATCGATATCGATGGCTTCATCTTCGGATTCCATGGGCAACACTTTCAGAGCTCGAGTCCAGAAGAGCTTCGGGTCTCTCATCATCATCATCATCATCATCATCGCTAAGCCCTCCGTGGTCTCTCACCGACGACGAGGTTGGTAATGTGACAAGGTTGGGAATGTCATTAAACAAAATTTATATCTTGAAATTTTCTGTGGAGCTATATTGGAAATAAAGAAATGTAATAATCGGAGACAAAAAAATTCTACATGTTTGATTTCTTATCGGAGGTAATCTTTGCGTCTAAAATCACAGTATCAAAATTAGGATAATATGATGGCATTTGATTCTGTAAATTTGTAAGCTTGATGTGTTCCTCTCTTTTTTCCTTTTTTCCTTTTTTTTAAAAAATTGATTTGATTAGCTAATGATGATATAGAATAGAATTGTTTCTTATTTTTTGGTTTTGTTGAAACATATATTGTTTTTTTTTTTAATTTTTATGTGATGAAGTTTCATTGGTTATTATTTTGATATGATTCTGATGATTGGTGAAGTGTGTCGTAAAGGCTCTAATGCATCAAGAGGTGAAAAAAATTATTTTATGTTGAGTGGAACATGAATGAATACCTGTGTGTAGGCTCAGCTAGGAATGTTTTGTGCACAAGAGGTTGGAAATGTGACAAGCTTTGCAACTTCAAGGGCACCCTCAGACCATACTAGTTCCTCTTTGTTTGTTAAGAGAGTGGCTCGAAATGGTTCTCCCCCATGGCGAGAAGATGATAAAGATGGACATTACATATTTGCGCTTGGCGAAAATTTAACTTCTCGCTGTAACTACACTACCATCACCAAAGATATTTTCATTTTTCAATTCACTTGATCATTTTGTGAACTTTGAAGTTACTAAAATGAACATGCACCACCATTGCTTTTTTTTCATTGATGTGGTGGTGCTATCATTAAATAGGGCTTTTGCCTTATAAAGTTTTTATGCAAGTGACTGAAAGTCATAAGTTGGCTTTCTGATGTGACCTATTGAAATCCTTTTAATAGCAACTTTTGCATTTGATTATAGCTCTACTTTCAAGGATATATGCATAATTTTTTAATTAAACAAATCCAAGGCATTATTTTTGTCTCAAAACTCATACTAAGCAGGTTGTTTGATGTGTCTAATATTGTTATATTAATTTTTCTTCATTAGATTCTTATTTGTTTCTGATTGTACTTGTGTTGCTTTGTTGTTTGGGTGCAGATAAGATTCACAGCAAGATGGGCGAAGGTATTTCTTAATAAACATATTTCTATTATAATATTACTGAAGTTTAATTTCAGGCTCATCACATGTCTTGTTTTTGTTGATCTATATTTTATATAGGCACCTTTGGCCAGGTCTTGGAATGTTGGGACAGAGAAAGGAAGGAAATGGTTGCCATTAAAATTGTTCGTGGTATTAAGAAATATCGTGAAGCAGCTATGATAGAAGTTGAAGTATTGCAACAGCTTGGGAAACATGATAAGGATGGCAACCGGTGAGTTTTATTTCATGAGTTTAATGTGTTTCAATCTCTCACTGCTATTCCTCATGCTTTGGTGGGATTTTGTAAATTTTGTGTCAGTGGTTAAATGGGTTTATTCCTTGCAGTTGTGTGCAAATAAGGAACTGGTTTGACTATCGTAACCATATCTGTATTGTAAGTATATAATTGATTTGGTGGGTTAAATTCCCCAATTTCAAGAATGTTTTGGGGTTAAGACTTGTGGATGGATTCAAATGGCTTTAACAGGTGTTTGAGAAGCTTGGACCAAGCTTATACAAATTTCTACGGAAAAACAATTATCGCTCATTTCCAATTGATCTTGTCCGTGAGATTGGCAGACAACTGTTGGAATGTGTAGCATGTGTGTAGTAATTACTTGGACCAGTTTCTTTAAATTCATCATATTATTTTCCGTTTTCTGTTTTTACTAGGTTTGGTTGGTGATAGATGAAAGCTAACATTAATTCATTTCAATTTTATTTTTAAGCTGCAAATTCTTGTATACAAAGTTCTGCTAAAGATTTTTGTATTTAGTTAGCTTCCTCATCACATGCATTAATATTTGGCTTTATTTCTCTAATTTGCAGTTATGCATGATTTGCATCTGATTCATACGGATTTGAAGCCTGAGAATATTCTTCTAGTGTCTTCAGAGCATGTTAAAGTTCCAGATTACAAGGTAATGCATTGTTAGGTGGTTATTTGAATCTTTCTTCTTCTTGTCTATGTATATTGTACATGATGTATAGTGGACTTTCTACTGTTAACTTGTGTTGAGACCTTATCTTGTATTCTATGTGAACAGGGTTCCTCACGATCGCCAAAGGATGGTTCTTACTTCAAAAAAGTTCCAAAATCAAGTGCCATCAAGGTAATTGATTTTGGCAGCACAACTTATGATCGTCAAGATCAGAGCTACATTGTATCAATTCGACATTATCAGGCACCAGAAGTAATTCTGGGTATGCTATTCTCAACTGCTATGGCTTATCTTTCACATTTTTCTGATGTACCTTTAAGACTGGAAGACATATCCAATTAGTAAATTTTTTTTTATGATTGTCCAGGGCTTGGGTGGAGTTATCCTTGCGATGTTTGGAGTGTTGGTTGCGTCTTAGTGGAGTTGTGCTCAGTATGTTTGATGATGCTTGCACTAGTGCTTTGGTAGTCATAAATGATTTTTAGAGCATGTTTTATTAACATTAAGTACATTTTAAATAGTAGGAATAGGGTAATATTATGTTTTCTGACAAAGTCTAAATATATAATTTAGTTTATTCTCTGTAAAAGCTTAAGATATTTCGAATGTTTTTCCCCCCTCCTTTGATTAGAAAAATAGAAAATGTATTCGGCAAGAACAAATAATTGACTAATTAATCTCTTTTCATTTATGTTGCTTGGCTGCAGGTTATGTCATTCCCAAAGGATGTTTTGTGGTTCCATTTCTTTCAGCAGTCCATTTAGATGAAAATTTGTATGAAGGAGCGATCACTTTCAATCCATGGAGATGGATGGACCCTTTGAATCAGGTCAGTCAAATAGAGATGCGCACTTAGATTCACTATTAGATTCGCTAATTATAGTATGTATATATCTATATGTTACATAATAGCAAGTTTAGGAATACAGAACCGGACATAAAAACACATGAATGGATAGGACTTACAGCATTTGTTGATGGGACCTACTTTTGAAAATTTGTGTCCGTTGATGTATTTTGTGTCTTGTTTTGTTCTGTATTTGATTTATGTGTTTCTAGACTTATTGTTTGCATATTACCACTTTGCTTTCATCTACTCTTGAAAATAAATAAATAAAAGCTATTTTTTTGTTTTTATTTTTGTTTCCTATATAAAGGAAAAGAGAAATTAGAGAAGCAGTCCATTTTATGCTCCGTTTGGAGGAGGAGCTTGATTTTGTCCAGGGGCAGAGTTGGCTCGCTTTCAAATTGCTCTTTCTTCATTACTTCGTTACTACATACAGGTTATTTTCATCTCTCAAATACTTATGAAAAACATTATATAGACAAATAGACTTTTACATAGTACCAAAATAAAAAATAAAAAACTTAAGAAAAATTATGTTGCATTAATTAATGGTTGTAAAAGATGTCCTCAAATTATGGGTTTGTTTTTTGAGGGTTTATATATATATATATATATAAATCACCAAATACGTTTCACACAATAAACTCCACCATATTTGCATGTAGGACACATCACATTCAAAAATTAATGGTGGGTCTCATTATTTATTTATAAATATGATGGATTATATACATATTGTTTTTTGTGTGGATGATGTGAAGAAATTATGTTGTAAATGGGGCAAGTTGGATGAAAGAAACCTCCAACAAATATGCGAAATATTATGTGGCAAGTCAAAAAAACAATATTTGATGTGTTTATAAGCGCTCCAAAGAAGATGCCTTTGGCGTAGTTGGCTACTTGGAGATTGATTCACCCAAAAAACTTGGAGGTTGGCATTATCCTGCTGTCCAATTTAACATTTTGGGGAGTGGATGCCAAATTTATTCTTTTGGTTCTTTGCGATCATCGGAGGATTTTTTTTTTTTTGTGACGGCTCTACACTGTCGCAAAAAAAAAGAAAATTTTATTATTTTTATTGATTTTGTTACAGGTTTTACTTTTTGCGACGACACTAAACTGTCGCAAAAAATAGAAATTTTATTATTTTTTTAATACTTTTTGCGACGGCAGTACACTGTTGCAAAAAAATAGAAATTTTCATATTTTTAATACTTTTTGCGACGACACCACACCGTCGCAAAAACAATGTTCTTGCTGTTGCCAAAAAAAAGACTATTAGCGACGGCATTTTTTGCCGTCTCAAATAACATTTTTAGCGACAGTAAAATAGTGCCGTCACAAAAAGTCAAGAAATTTCAAACATTATTAGCGACTGCAAAGTGCTGTCGCAAAAGGCAAAAATGCCGTCGCAAAAACTCTTTTGCAACCCCCCCAGTTGCGACCCCTCTCTTACCGTCGCAAAAAGTCATTTGCCGTCGCAAAAAGTTTTTTGCGACGGCATTAGGAGTATTAGCGACGGTATTTTACCGTCGCAAAAAGCTGAAATTTTAGTAGTGAAGTCAGCCATTTATAAGATTCTTATGGGGACCAAATGTCAGTCCACATGCTGTTGCATAAAGGAGGCCTAAAAGACGGGTTAAGACTAGAAAATATATTATTAACAACGATTCGTCAAACGAGAATAGTTGGTTAAGAGTTCTTTTGGTTGAGTTGAATTTTACAATCCTCAGAAAACATATTGAATTGATAATCAAAAGTGTGGTAAAGGCTCCAGCCTTAACAAGCTCACTTGTTGGCAAGTGTTACTTAAATAACCTTAATCTCAATTACTTGGAGTTAGATATGTATCTTGTCTAGTTGGCTCTAAATATACCTTAAATTTTATTCTGCTCTTGTTAACTTCATACCCTCAAGCCAAACCATTGTTTCAGAAATATTTAGCAACTGATAGAATTATATTGTATTACATTGGAAATGAAATATTTTTTTGGGTTATTTAGTGACAAGTGTGCCAAACTTCCTTTGTTTTCAAGCCCCCCGAGGTAAATATTTTCAATGGCAGCATTGACTGGAAACTTTTTATGATAGCAATACATGTTTATTGCTGCTATACATGTTTATTTTAAATGTTTTAGAAGTGATTGTTAGAAGTACTTTGAAGTACTAATTTAGCTTGAAGCTTAGGAAGCTATCTGCAAAACATAGAAAGTCAAGTTTGGATAATTGATTTAAATGTTTGACAGAACAAATACAGATGCTGCATACTACATACTCATCAAGAGTGCATCCTGAACCTATTTCCAATGTGGGGTCTCTTCACGATGCTTTGACCCTTCAACAACTATTTCCCATCCATTGGTCAGGCCAAAACAAGCATCTCATCCAAATGCAAAGGGTTCCTTGGCCCGCCTACATTAAGTGAAGGTATGTGTTTGAAAATTTCTCAATTTTATTTTGTTGCTTGCTTAGATCTTGATTCTCAGTCTCTATTTAAGTAACTACTTATCTGATCTTAATTTCTAGTATTTATATGAATGTGGTATATGATTTGACTCTTTTCTGGGGAAAATTTCTTAGATTTTGTTGTTGATTTTATGGAGTTTTTTAATTATGTGTTTTTTTAAATTTTTGTCTCGTTGGAGATTCTGTATTTTGTTCAGTGTCAGCTCTTTATGCCTTCAAGGAAACTATAAATGAGGACCCATTTACGACTTTGTCAAATTGGAATGTGGTAGATGCAGATCCTTGTGACTGGTCTGGCATTTCTTGTTCTGTGGCTCGAGATCATGTCTTAAAGTCGTAAGATTTTTTTATCTGTTTAATATTTTCTTTCTTAATCATATATACAAATAAATATTGTGTATGTGTGTGTATTGTGACATGTACAATACTTCAAGTTATGGCAATCCTTACTCTCTTTTTGTCAATGCTTTGATTAATAGTGTTTGAGAATCGATTTGAAAGTTCTAGGTATTTTATTTTGGATTATAGAATGCCCTAATTTTTAAAGGAAATAAACTAAGTTTGGGAAAAAGCATAAGAGTCCCATTGCACTAGTGATATTTTTTTTGTATGTTCATTTCCTATAATAAAATAAACTATTGGGATGGTATCATAGCTCTAATTCCAGGAAGTTCTGATTTAGTTCGTGTGTTTCTTTGGTTACGTCTTCACATGTGACACGGTGTCACACGTAAGGGTTATGTAGGAAGCTTGCTATATATTGTTGGGTCTGAATCTTTTGGGACAATGATGACTCTACAATTTTGAATGAGGAGAGTGATTGGTCCCCTAAACTCACGCTGGAAAACAGACTTTTAGTGGCGTTTAAGAATCGCAGGTATATCTATCAAAAACGCCGCTAATTCCTTTTGCGACATTTAGTACCAAACGTCGAAGATGCGGCCGTCGTTGTATCTTTGCAACGTTTTAAAAACGTAGCCATATTAGAATATACGGCGTTTTTAGAAATGCCGCGAAATGTCCCTACCATGACGTCACTATGATTTTAGCGACGTTTTCAAAACGCCATCATATCTTTTTTTAAAAAATTGACCGTTAACTTTTTGGAGTTTAGGTGGCGGTTTAAAAACGCCATGAAATCCTCTTTTTTTTAAAAAAAAATTGTGCTAATTTTATGTGATTGAACTAAAAAATACCTATAATAATATTGAATAGCCTTAATATGAAATAATAACTCCCATTCAAATAATAAATGCAGCATTAATTCACTTTCCCATTCAATTTAATATCCAATCATTATTACCCACAAAATAACATATTAAAAATTAAATTCACAATTCTCAACCAAAAAATCAGCCTTGTTCTTATCAACACTAGCAGTCCTATGGCAGCAAAAATCAACACCAGTCAAAAGTCACACACAGCCTTGTTCTTATCAACTAGACCAACTTGTATTACAAAAGCTTTTGTAAGATAATTTGCTCCCAAAAAAATGTAACTTAGAAGCACAGATGACAGCTGCAAACACACAAACCATTTAAGCATGTGTGTTCCATAAGCAATGTTCTAAAAATAGTATTTCATTTTCAATATAACACCACAAAATAAAGCCTCCCAAAAACTTGTTCAGGTCTCAAACAAGCAAGAGAAGACATCTGGTAGAATGTAATAAACTATGAGGCATCAATAATAACTGTGAGGCATCTAGTAGAATGAGTAAGAACTTGTAATAAACTGTGAGGCATCAGCAATAATCCAAAATCCGAATATCATGCACCAACAAGCCCTCCAAGCAAGGAAAAAAGAGGAACAATCAAAATCTATAAAATAAAGCCAACAAGCAAAGCAGTGATGAAAAAAAAACAGAGAAAAATAACAGCCAAAGACTTGGACCAGAAAATGTAATTATTACAATACACTTGATATAACTGAAGTGATTCAACCAACTAGAATATTGGAAACTTATTTCCCACTTGTTGATCACATCAATGATTAAAATTAATACTGCTTTTGCCTAGGAGAAAAAACAATTATAACTAATTAATAGTGCATTTTGCCAATCATATGAGTATCAACAACCAAGTTACATCAAGAACAAATTAATCATGTGGAAAGGATACAGAAATTATGTCCAGACAACATCCATAATAAGATAAAGAAGGTTTAATGCACTCCTAAGAGGTAAAATGCTAATCTCACTCTATAATCAATTGCCGAGGTTTTCTAAAAACAGCTATCAAATATTCTGTCCAAACCTTTATCATCAAGAAAATTACGCTTTATAGGCCAAACATTTATGAGATCAAAGATTATAAAATCAGCAAGTAAAAATATGATAATATCCCAAAGATTAGGCATAAATTAACAGCATAGAAAATATACAAATGGACAATAAATGATATGTGAAGGAACCAGTGATGTCCATAAAAGTCTAAGAATGACACCAATACCAACTTAACAAATAAT